CTCTGTAAGAACCATCTTCTTGGAGGAAAAAGCTAACCCAGCTTAGACCCATCTGGGGTTTGGAATTGGAATTTAGAAATCTTCAGGTGGTCGAGGAATTGGGGATTGAGAGCACCCCACTGGGGCAACCTCTCAGAATCAAGGGAAAAGGCAAGAGCACTACTGGGAGGTGGTGGATAAAAGGTAGTGTCAAGTGGGAGGTCCTTAGGTCCTGGAGCCCCTGTGAAGGAGACAGTGGGGCCCCAGTCTCTTCCCTTCTCTTTCACTTCACAGTCATGAAGCGAGTGGTTTTGCTATAGCCCATAGTCCATTAGTAAACAAGGAGAGGAAACGGAAACCTAAGATATTTGAGGGCATCCCCAAGAGGAAACGATGCAGCCTGGGTTACTGGTTTTCCATTCCAATCTTTCCTTGTCTACAGTTCCTGACCAGAGGCTCTATGAGACACCCCTTGTTCTTATAATAAATTTTCTTTGATCTCAGTCTGCTTTGTGGGAATGTCCAATGTGGTAGGCTGTTTCCAGCCCTCGTGCTCTTTTGCCAAGGGTCCTTACTATGGTCTAAGAAGTGATATTTATTTCCCCTCCTAGGTATCATGACCAGCTTAGCCAATGACATGAGGCACAAGGACATTCTGAGGCATATAGTCCAGGCATTAAAACCTAGCAGTTTCTACTTATGCATCCCAGGAAAATCAGCTGCCATATAAAAAGTGTCACTTCTCTGAAATTGTCATGCAATGAGGAAGCCTGAGCTAAGACTCTTAGAGAGACCACAGAGATGTCCATCCAGGACCCAGCTGCCCCAGCCATCTCAGCCCAGCTCTGGACATGTAAATGAGCAAGGTTCTTGAGTGTTCCAGTTCCAGAAGACGAATCCTGAGCTGTCCATGGAGAGCTGAGCTGTCCCTGCGAGCCCTCCCCAGATTGCAGAAACCTGACCAAACAAGTAATCTTGTTGCTCTCATCGTTGTGTATTAGAGTAATTTGCTATGCAGCCTTAGTAACTGAAGCAAAATGCAGCCGAAAGTGCTATAACCTTCCCTATGCTCGTCTACTGGGGGCCTTGAGTTCAGGCAATAACAATTGAGATAGTGAGAGACATCAGGCTAGGATGAGGCCTGACAATGTGAGGGACCCAGCCTTGGTTCTGTGACAAGCATTCCATACTTCAGAAAGGCCTTCCTCACCTGCACCCCAGTGGGTGGGTGATCATTTCTCCTACCGGCACAATGCTGAAACCCCACAGACCAGCCTGTCCAGAGCCATACTACTCTTCTTAAGTACCTAGTTCATCCAACAAGCCCTTGCTTTCAAATGTCCAAAACCTGTATGAAAATATGCTGACCTCATGAGTAATCAAAGAAATGCAAATTAGAACAAGAATCAGATTCACGACCCTGCTTATCAGATTGGCAAAGTGAAGACTGAAGATCGCGGCTAGAGACAGGGACAGGACATACTGGGAACCTAGGGTACCAGGAAGCAAGTGGTTTGGTGGGCTGTGTAATAGTAGCTACGAATATGCAAAAGGTGTGTAGCCTCTAATTCGGCTAATTCTACTTCTAAGTGTCTACCCCAGAGAAATGCTCACACAGGTTACACGAAGAAATAACCAAATGCAGGGACACTCTCTGCAGCACAGTCCTCGATGGCAAAGCCCTGGGAAGGCACCACAACCCATGGACGTGGGCAGTGCTTCCCCGCCCTGATGTGCAAGCGTGCTGCTGACAGAGGCGGCACTTCATGCTGACTCTATCCCGTGACATAGATGGCGTGCTCAAATGACACAGTACAGGGGAGCCGACATAGAAAGCTAAGATGTACTATCAAGCGAAAAGAACATCGGTACAGCATAATATATATGTAAACAGCTTTGCAAAAAAAAAAAAAAAAGGAAATATAAATGTTCAAATGTAAACGCAAAATTTGAAGAACTTTTTTTTTTTTTTTTTTTTTTTTAACTGGGGATTGAACTCAGGACTTTGTACTTGCCAGGCAGGCACTTAAACCTGCAGAGCTATCTTCCCAGTTGCTGTAAATGCGAACTTTCAGGTGTGGGAAGGAACTCAAAAACCTGATTTTTTGGTTTAAATAAAAGGTGTTTCCAAGGAGGTTGGTGGTATTGAGAAGACAAAGGGAGATATTTGTCTGTCTCATTTTTTTAAAAGACAGGATCTTGCTAGATTGCCCAAATCCATGATCTTCTGCTTCAGCCCCCTGAGTAGCTGGGATTCAGATGCATTCCCATATTATTTAAAAATTTTAGCATCGAGAGTGTATTTGTGTATTTCTTATGTTATTAAACATATCGGTAGCTTCCAAGCTAATGAGTGCAGCTGGGAAGAGTTCGAGCTGTGAGAGACCTGCGTTTGCTCAGACTCAGAGGTTGTGTGTGGAGTTCAGGAGTGGACAGGTCACTGGGGAATGGTCCAGGAAGGCAGCCCCCACAGCCTGGTGGGACCTGGTTATCTGAAGAAGAGGAGCTCCCAGGCACTACTGGATGCCTTGCCAGGGGGCGCTACACAGGGAGCTTCCTGCCCTGACAGGAAATGAGACTGGGTAACCTCTGAGAGCTTTTCCTGCCCTTGGCTGCTGCTCCAAACCTCTGATTGCTTGACTTGCTGAGATAACCTGCTTGCTGTGCCTGTGAGCTGGGCAGCCAGGACACAGGATGACAGAGATGCGGGATTCAATGGGTCCCCATTGCCCAGAGCTTTGGAACAAGACGCACACACGCACACAGCATATTCTTCTGGTACCTATCCATTTCCTGCTCGTCATTGGCTCACCCAGTAATGACAGAATTCACCATGTGCTTAGGACTCTGGCGCTGCCTTAGCCACCAGTCCTCCTTTGAAAGCTTTGATCACTTTCTCCAGAAGAGCCCTAAGAGTTTATCTAGTCCAAATCACAGACAAGAGGAGCAGCTGACTTGCTGAGTCCCACCAGAAGGCAAGTCTAGAAACTGGGTAAAAAAGGCACAGGGTACCCCATGCCTTGTCCATCTGCCTCTTGCCTTCAACTTTGCATTCCAGGCCCAGTGACATCTGTGGGCAAAAAGAGCTCGGAAAACAGTGGTCCAACAAATGACTGCAAATGAATGAATGAGAGAAAGGCAGCCAATGCTGGATTTCTCATTACGACAGAAAGAGAGAGCTGCTCTTGGGAGGTAAGGGGAGGTTTCTTCAGGCTGAAGCTCAGGAAGCAAGACTGTGAAGGGAGGAGATGGGTGGGCATGTGAGGGGTTGAGGTCTACACAGGTGGAGGGCGTGCCTTGCGTCTGTTCAAGCATCTGCATCTGAGCATGTCTGGTCTTGTATGACCAGGCCCTGGGCCACACTGGGAGACGAAACAAAACCTGACTTTGAAGAATTTGTTCTAGGGTAATAGCTCTCAAACTTGAGCTGCATCAAAAGGATGTTGGGAACTTTTAAAAATTGATTACAACACCCCAGCCTCAGAGCCTTTAGTGCAGTGAGTCTAAAGTAAGGGACCTGTCAAGAGTAATCAGCATGTCTGAAAAATACATGAAAGTAGGTGTCTAGAAGATGAAACGAGTCATAGGGAACTACACATTACATTTTCCATTTTTCTTAATAGATACGGCAACCATGAAACTACTATTATTTGCCATAAGATTTTTCTGGGAGCTCGTTCTCAATTTCTTTGGGCTCAAGCATCAACAGCCAGATAGAAATCATGATGAGAATTTCAGTCTGTGTTTAGCGAATCACGGGGTCCAGAGGCCTGATTTGCTGTCCCTCCCTAACAGTGAATATGTGACCTTCAAATCTGTCATTAGGTCATAGCCACACAGAAAAAAATAAACTTGGGGAGGAGCAAGTTTTCCACCTAGTGGGAATTCAGCCCTCACTCTTCACCTCTCTGGGCCTCAGTTTCAACCTCTACGATGGAGGAAATTAAATGAGATGTTCCCTAAAGTCGCTTGCAACACTCTCCCCTTTTGTGTTTTCATTTGCTGATTATTTCTAGACTTCCATCATGAGCAACCATCTGAGATATATATATATATATATATAATAATCTGGTCATCAAGAGCAGAGCAGCAAGGGTGACCTCTTCCCTCCCTAACAACGTTCCAGTCACTTTCCCACTTAAAGGCAGTGACCGCTGTAGCCACAGTCCCTGAGAGCATGCCATCGGCCAGGCACCAGCCTCACCAGTGCGTCTGCATTAATGCCTGAGATCCTCAGAGCAGCCAACAAGGTAGATACAGAATAGCGCTACTTAGGATAGATCATGATTTTGCAATGTTACACTGATGCAAAAGCCACATGCATTCAGTAGAAACTATGCTTTGGACTGTGAGCGTGGATCTTCTCCTGGGCTAGTGAGATACAGCACTAACCTCTCTTGAACTGCTGGGTAGTGACCACAGCCACAGCCCCCAGCCAACCAGGGGATCATAAGGGAAATGCAGACACTCTCTAGGGCGCTGCCTTACTGAGTCATGATGCTCAGCAAGCCAGGTGTATGAATGCATTTTCAAGTTAAATATAATGTTTTCAACTTGCAATGGGTTGATGAGGATGTAACTACATTATAAATGGAAAAGCATCTGTACTTCCATGGCTACTGTTACCAGCTCCACTTTACAGAGGGAACTGTGACCCAGAGAACTGAAGTCTCCTACCCAGTGTCATCCAACAGCAATGCAATAGGCAGACATTTCGTGCAGTAGGGCTTCAGTCATACTATGTTTGTATGATATAAGACAGTGCACAGAATAAATATTTGGGAACATGCATCATAATATTTATGCTATGTTCAAAACCAATTTCCCTTTATCCTAAGAAGGCAGGGGAAATGTAGGACCATTTGAATCTCCTTTGTCAGTATTCTTTTTACCTGCCAAAAAAAATTAGCAGATTGTGTGGGCAGATGCACTTCTCCACATAAATACCACCTATTATCCCCAGATAAATGGTCCACTGCTCAGTTTGAGAGACTATCTTCTGTAAGGAAACAAAAGGCTGAATCCTTCTGTGGTACCCAAGCATGACGAGGGGGTTTTCATGCTATTCTGAGATGTATTTCCCAACAAACTGCCTACAATGCCTGCACATCAGCCGTCTGACTTGGACTTGGGGGAGAAAAAGAAAAAGGTTTTGAGTGAAAGGCCAATTCTTGCTTCATAACAGCTACAGGAAGCACAGCCAGAGGGCAAGTGGTTGATGGCGAGAAGGCCTGAGGAGATCAGCAGGGTAGTGGTTAGGAAAGAGTGCTGTGTTCTCACTTCATGCCAAGCCCTGGGGCTGCAAGTGAGATATTCCTAAGGGCCTGCAGATCTTGGTGGGCTCTGCCCATGAAAAGGTATCATAGGGGCTGGTGAGATGGCTCAGTGGTCTAAAGCACCTACTTAGAACAAGCTAAGCTAAGCAAAGCGTAGGGACCGCGGTTCAATCCCCCAGCACCGCATGCCAGCCAGCCCC